ATCAAAAGCAAAATCTGTTTGCATTCCTAGCCAAAAGTATCTCCGCAAGAAAGCTCATCCAGAAACGCATAGGACCAAACCTACGATAAAGCATGGCCTTTGTGCAGTGTCATGGGGTGCGATGTTTGCCGCTGGATCATGAAATCTCAGATCATCGATGGGGATTAGGATAAAATTATTATTTGAATCTCCTGAAAACACATGTAGAATAAAGTGCTCGAAAGTTCAAAAAACGCATTTATTTTTATCAGCATAACGACCCTAACGTTTTGCCTCCATTACTACTGTATCCGTGTGCTTAAAATTCTTTCGCAGTCTGATGATTTGAACGTTATTCAACACGTGTGGAAATATTTAGGGGAAAAATTAAAACACCAACACATAACCAACAAAATGGAGTTAATAACAGCTGTAAAAGAAGAGTGGAACAATACACCAATATCCTTCCTCTGTAAGTTGGTAGAGACGACGCCGAATAATATCAGCTAAATATACATACATGTATGTATTTAATATAAAATTTTCTGTTGCATTAAAATGTTGATTTCATAGTAGAGCTGCAAAAATATCGATAGTCGGACAACTCGATAGCTTTGATAGTTCAAAAAATAGTGTCGAAAGTTTTTCCCCTCGAAATCTACTTACTTTTCACTGGTTTAAATTAAGAAGCTTTGTACACTTAATATTTATGAAATAACCTATGGATTTATTAATCAAATAAAACATGAACAATAGCGAAAATCACAAAAAAATGAATAAAGTTACATATAAAATTTCCTCAATAATCCACTTGGCTTGTTTAAAAATAGTCTAATAATTTGTTGACGTTTTTTGCCTTTAGTGCTGTTCTTCTATCAAACATTGGTAATCCAGCCCTTCTAAAGATTCTCTTCGACTCTGTAAAATTAAAACTAAATGATATTCGTTTATATGCACTGTAGGCAGACTAAATTCCGTATTTTAAGTATGTACATATATTTCGAAATTCGATCACAACAGAATGTTTACATAATATGTTTCAATTTTATAATTCTTTTCTCGAAAATCAGGAGTACTAGAAAAAAAGGATTTTGGTTTTCCAAGGTTCTTAATTCAAAATAAAATACTGGAAAACTGTGGCGTCAAAAATTCTGAATTGCGACTGCATGTATGAATAATGGAGGTTATGTGTTGCCGGCATTTCAGAACAATAGAAAATCTTACCAAATTGTAAATATTTCCGCAACATTCCTTCTATTCCCTAGCAACTTCTCGGAACTTTTTTGTCGTCAGTACATCAATTCCGAATAATGAAAAATAAAAAATCCGTATAATTTTAAATCATTGTTAAATAATGCTAATCAATAAATTCTCGTTGAATGTCATTTAGATATCTTCTGTTGGCTTACATATAAACTCAATCAAAGAGACTAAATTTAAAAAAAAATGAGTATATGAGGGAACAGAAACTGCCGGCGCGGGTACGGTTAAATTAGTAGCAGCTTAGACCGATTTCATTCATATTCAGCTAGTGGTTAAAAAACAATAAATTTTATCAAAATATCGCACATCCTGACCTAAATGAACTGTTTTAAGTCAACTGAAAAGTTTGAATACACTATATTAGGTATATGAGAATCAGGAGAAGTATTGAACTGATATAACCATTTTCGGCAAAAATATATACCTAATATAAAAACCAGTAAGGAAGGGATAAGTTCGGGTATAAACGAACATTTTATATCATTGGTGTTGGCAAAAATGTATATTCACGATCGTTATATTCACAATCGTGAATGAATAACAATAAAGTTTGGTATCTTATTAACATTAACTTATATATTAAAGGTGAGCACATTACATGATTCGTTTTATTTATAATTTTTAATCATGTATGTATGTATATGTGATATAAACTCAACGGCTAAATTTAATATAATGTGTTGATGTGGAAAACGTCAACCAGAGGATTGGAATTCTTTATATTAGGGATATGAGGTTTAAACCAAGGTCTAGACCAATTCTATTCATATTCAGTGGAAAGCCATATATTTTCCAAGGAAAGTTGTCCATTTAATTTCATTAATATATCATACATTTTGACCAACCTGTACAATTTAAAGTCAGGTGGAAAGTCAGAAATAATTATATATGCTATTATATGTATGTATTAATTTGGACACTGCTCAGAACATATTTTCAAGCCATTTTATAAATATATAAATCACACACTGAACGACATATTCGTCATAAGATATGTTAGAAAAACGAAAATCATTATATGTATTATATGGGGGTAATTCGAATAATAATATCGAATAATAGGGCCTACCGGAAGCTGGAAAATTTTATATCAGGTATATGGGCTCTAAGGGATCTATTGACCCACTTTAACTATTTTTGAGAATACCCCATACTATTAACATGTCAAATATTATTAATATGCTCTCTGAGGCTAATTAAGGTACAGCCACCACCAATATATATGGAGTAAAATCAACTGGACGTTCGAAAACCGTGATATTAGTTATATGGGCACTAGGAAAAGTTTAAACCTGATTTTATCTATTTTATGCACAAATATGCGTTGTTATTAACAAGACACGTTCGTTTTCACTAAGATAACTCACACATTGGCCGATATATGTGGTATAAAGTAAACCGGAAGTTCAAAAATCTTTGTATTAGATACATGGCGAAGGGAGGTATTGACTCGATTCAATCCATTTTTTACACACAGACATACCAGTATCACAAAGGGGCGCTATCGAATAATGTAATAATATATCTTACAGATGGACCAATATTTCCGCTAAAAAGTTAGAAATAGGTACTGGGGTCCTCATATTAGGTATCTGGGGGCTTGAACGATTTTGAAAACTTTTAGACTCGAGGTGGCATATCTTAAAGGCACTATTCGAGCAAAGTTTTATCGCGAAATATTCCTTGATTCTTAATTATATACTGTAAAGTGAAAGAATCAGATGGAATTTAAAGTTGTGTTGTACGGGAAGTAAGCATGGTCGAGTAGGTCCTGATATATACGTTTTCATCTAAAGTGGACGGTGCCACGCCCATCCCACGCCAATTGCGCATGCGTCAAAAGTCATGTTAGTGCAGGGTATTTTCGTTTGTTTGAATTTATGGTATAGTTTGTTCGATTCGGTATCCTCCAACACTTGGCGAATCGAAGACAGTTTAAGTTATTTTAGCCACCGCTTATTATATATTAACGTAATTGAACTGCAATTGTCCTGATGATGGTCTGAATGAAAGATTGTGGATTTAACGTAACGATTCTGTTATTGACAATATTTTGGGTTATCTCCTGTTTTTTCAGTGAGTTTCGTGCCTGATACTTTCTATGATTTTCTTAACTTCTTCTATTGCCTTTTTCGCCAAGATTAGTTTTATTTCTATTGCTTAAATTTGTTTAAGATTAGTTTTATTTCTATGAGCGCTACAATAGTTAGCAGATTTTAGTTCGAAACCTCAGAAGAGACAGGCTGGTGATCAATAAAAGTGTTTATCTGACCTATATCATACAGATAGTTTCTCAATGAAAAGCCCAAACACTAGCCAAATATTTTTAGTTGATTAGAAAGTGTTTCTCTCTTGATAGTTATTAAAGTCTTAATAGATGGGTTTTTCGCCTATAAAAGTACCGCGTCTAATTCATTTGACGATGCATCCATATCAAAAGGCTTCGTGAAAACTGGGTATACTAATGTATCATCTTTGGGTACTGGCATCTCTTTCAGAGTGCTGAATGGCTTTATGCCTTTTGGGTAATGAGAATTTATATTTTTTTCGATTGAGAGGTATTTTTTTCATTTTCTTCTTTGAGAATATTGATATGCTAAGTGTTTGCTTTACATTAGAAAAATCTTTTATAAAATGTCTATAGCAGCTTGCCAAACCAAGAAACGACTGAACTGCTTGAAGAGTGGTTAGCTGAACATAGCCATTTTTCTAAAATCAATCACTTGTCGTTTATTGGGTAATTGTAAAAAGATCGAGAAGGGCGAATTATGCCATTGGCAAGAAAAACAGCTACTTTCTTGTTGACGAAATTTCCTTTTTTTGTTCGGTTTGTCGTAACAATATTGGTATTAAAAGGTACGTTTGTGTCCGCAAAATCTTAATTTTTTATTTGTGACTATTGTGTACTTATTACGTTTTCACAAATTTAAAAAAAAATTAAATTTTCAACTCGATAAAACCACAGTTTTTCCTTTCTACGTTCTATGTTATCATTCTTTAAATTTTTTGGGCTTAACTTGGATAAGTAAATGTGAACCAATAATTCGGTGATATGTTTCGATATTTGGAAGTATGAAAAGGAAATCGAACGAACTCCAAATAATTCAGTTTTCTTTTTTCATTCATCACAATATTTCCGTAACTACACTACAAAGGGTATGAACAATGGAACTATGTTAACTCTGGAAAAGGGGTATTGTATTACTTTGAAGCAGCAGAATTTACCAAAAATTTAAACATTTGATGATAATGGATAAAATTGTATCAATATGTCCCCTAGCCTCTATATATATTTAACATAAAAAAACGTGTACAAGGAGATGGTTTGACTGTACCTGCAAATCCGATTTTTCAGTTGACTTAAGTAAAAAAGCGCCCATTTTTATGATATACATATAAAACAGTAAAAATCTATCTTAAAAAGCAAATGGTACATTATAGTATGGCATTTGAACAATTTTCTCTTAAATGTTGATGGAGAAATATTACAAAATACGGCAATGGCAGCAATTACTCTGAATTGTCGTGCCCCTCTTAACTCCGTGCTGAAATCAAAATTAAATGGTTAGATCACATAGAAAAGGAACATTACGAATGATGAATTTAGAAATCAAATATACGCACTACAAATCAAAAATTATAATAAAATTGTTTTGCTAAATTTGACCAGGAATATATTTACTTAGGCTATTATATAAGAATTTAATTTATTACTATTCCAATAGTTTCCTTAAAATCAAATTTCTTTTTCTTTACAGGTTAAAAAGCAACTACTTGGCTTGGTAAAGAGGTGATCCAAGCATATGGATGGATAATTGCTCATGCACTTACACAATATCTCTAGATGTACTAGACGTATTAAGTTCGTTTCATTGCTTAACTTTCCAACGAAAGTTCTCCATAAAATAAGGATGCAAGCAATGGAAAAGTTAATAATACTATCAATAATGACAACCATTTTTAAATAATGTGTACAAAAAAGCAAAAATTAAATAGATCAGTGTTGCCACTTGAGAAAATCTTTGATTACCAACATGTCTGTTGCAAAACTATCAAATTTATTATTATCAAACCATTGGCTTTTATTTCAATTCGCATTTGGAAAAATTTGTACATACAAATAAACCTTAGAGGCCAATTAAATTTAGGCTCCTATTACGATTTTCAACTCAACTGCATTTGGAATTAACGATATCAACTCAATCAGTAAAAAAAAATCGTTTGAAGTGTTGTCAAACTTCAACTTTTTTGTGGTATTAAGAATATAGTACTCTTTAAGTAAAATCAAATTTTTGATACGTTTCGCTCCTCTTCAGTCATTTGTTTTTTATCCACAGCGCACCAATTCACTGTTTATAATATTTAAAAGCAGGTTTTTTAGCAACTATAGCTATCTTAGGTTGCTCCAGTTCAAAGCTAAAATCATTTAAAATGCATCTTTGATAATTACCGGCGGCAAGAAAACGGAGAGTTTGTGGTAATATTCCTTCATCTAATTTAGTAATAAACAAAATTATTCCTCATTTAAACGAAAAAACTTTGGCTTACTTGGTGTTGGGAAGTTTCAATGGACTTGAGTGATCATGGTGGTTTTTTCCTATGCGCAGCAAATCAGTTTCGGCCAATATTTTTGTCATTGTAATATAAATGAAAACTAATGTCAATTTTAATATCTATTCATCTTTTTATGAGTAAAAACTGAATTGAGTAGTTTTGATTTTTCGTTTAAAAATTTTCAGCTGTAAAATTATCTTTCAAATCTTCAACACTAATGAAACTTCAACGAATAAGAGTTGAAGTTCGTAATACCAAAAAGAGTTGGGTTGATCTAAAGTTAAATTGCTACAACTTAAATTCAAATGAGTGGCGTTGAAACCCGTAATAGGATATTAACTACACTTAATTTACACCCTTCCTTTTCTTCATGAAAATCGAATATCTTTAATCGCTTCATACGAAATTTTCGCTTTTATGGTCCAGGCGAGCTTTCATTACTACAAAAAATTGTCTATTTGTTAATTGACATATTGCAAACGTTTAATATTATGTTGTTTACTACCGGGGTTTTAATTAATTTATTACTATACCTTAAAAAAATTAACACTAGAAAAGTTTATTATTAACAACAAGTTTTTTTTATTAACAACCACTCGCCTTGTTCGTCACTCACAGTACCAATATTTGTCGGAAAGAAATCCAGATAGGAGCAGCATTTGTAACTTTAAGAACATATTACACCACAAAGTTGTATATGATATTACAAGTTCATTGATTAAGTCTTTTTATTTTTTTTGATCTATGGCTTCCTAGAAAATTTTGGACAACGTTCACAAAAAATTTCAAACGAATTTTTTCGATCCTTCAGTTTTTCTTTAAAGCTCGTATCCTTTACCAGTAGCCGTATTTGTGGACCTACAAATATTCCCTCTTAAATTTTTGCTTCGCTGAGTATAGGGAATATCTCTTTCAGATATACAAATTCACTGCCATCTTTAGGAGGCTTTGGCACAGGCAGTTCGGCACTATGTGCCGAAGACGAGTTTATCGCATATGTCTGGGTTCTTCTTTAGGTCAACCTAATAGAAGTCTCACACACGTTCACATCATTAATAGGAAACTCAGGACTTATATTGATTCCTCACAGGAAATCCAAAATAGTCTAAATAGCACGACGCTGGGATTTAAAAGTTAATACCTGCTCTCACGCATAATACGGGGTCATTAGAACACTTTCGAGGCATGTTTACGATGTAACAAACGTATATATGATATAAGTTAGCCGAATGAAATAGTTATACAGTGGGATAAATTAAAATATTTAAAAAAGACAAATATATAAGGTCAGAAATTAAAATGTAGCTGTTACAAAAAACAAGGACGTATTTGAAACAAAATTATTATATATTGTTATTGAGGATACACCAACATAAACAAAAATCATCACAAAGCTCATGTGGCAAAAACGGTGCTTATCAGTGTAATTATTTAAAACAAAACTAAAGTAATTACTTGTCCATAAAGTTTTTTTTATTTCATTTGATTTATGAAGTTAAAGAAATACCAGCAAATATCAACTTTTTGACACTTTCAATCTTGATTTCACAGTTTTAATTATCGCTAGATCTTCCCACATTGAGCACATGGTGGCCATTCGTGACTATTTTTTAATTAGTATGAATATAAAGCAATAAAGTATGCTTTTTTAAGCGAACAAATCTTAATATTAACTTTTATTGTAAATAAATCTAATAAAAAATATTGCCTTCCAACCAAACTACCAATTTTGGTCCGATCGATCCAAAATGGCAACACTGATATAGATATATCTGTTGACTGAGTAGCAACATATATGTATATGTTCTTTCCCAGTTATGTTCAACGAACACTCCCAAAGTGAAGTTGTTTAAGCAACACATTTCTATATCGTTATATGGCTCAATTCATTAAAATATAAGGTGATACCAGTTCACTGTAAAGTCAAACACAGTTATTTAAAAACAAACTCATAAAAAAATGTATATAACAAAATAATATTATACAATTGAAGTGTACATCACATCATTAAAAAAATTGAAATAGAACATGTCAAAAAATAAGTAACTTCACACAAAAAATTGATTTTACATAAAAATTTTTGGTCACAGAACACCAATGGCAAGGAGATGGAACCATGTTAAGCGGCATTAAGCAGTATTGTCACAGAAATACTTACCAAGATGTGTTAAAAATGTAATGGAAAGGTCAATTCTTCATAAAAATGGGGTTACATTGCCTTTTTAAGGCTATATTGATCGTATATGCCATTAAAGGTTAGTGTCACATTCAAATTACAAATGCATACATAATATATTATTCATAAAATATATCGCTTATAAACATGGATAATTTTATAATATGAACGCCTGAACTATTGTACTGAATTACAGAAAATTAAGATTATGGCCTATCTGTATTATCGATATCAACTCCAGCCCTAAACAATTTTTCGGTTGAAAGGTTGTCAAACTTTTTTGTGGAATTACGGGTTTCGACTCTCAGCCAGTAGCGTTGACTAGAATATCAAACCAGTAAGGAAGGACTAAGTTCGGGTGTAACCGAACATTTTATACTCTCGCAACTTGCAGTGATCAAATCCAGGGAAATACTTTCATGTCTGGCAAAACCTTATATGAAAACATGTTGCGAAAGAATTCAACATTCATAATTCGACGAAATCATGAATTTATTACAATCAAATTTGGTATCTTATAAACTTATTTTGAAGGTCATAGTGTGAGTGTTATTACTATATATTACGTCTCGTCAGCGAACACCTTATTAAAATCATACTGAAATGAGATATGTATGATATATGTATGTGATATAACCTCAGTTGAAGAGGCTAATGAGAGTTGTTGCGAAAAAAGGCTACCAGAGGATCGGAATTCATTATATGAGGGTATTAGGTTTAGAACAAGGTCTGGACCAACTCTATTTGAATTCAACGGTTGATGTGACGAGTTGAAATCCAGATATCCGTCTGGGCAAGCTGTATCTTGAATAAAAATTGAGCTATCCTCTTGAAACTTGGTACACGTGTTCCTTGGAAAAAAACTGAGGACGAGTTTCGTATATGGGCGTCCACGCCCACAGCCGTTCTGTTAAAAACTACTAAAAGCGCTAAAATTCAACAAATAAATACGCCAGAGACATTAAATTTTAAACCTAGGATGATAGAAGAAGACTTTATAGAAGTCGGGGTCAAAATTGGACGATGGGTGTGGCACCGCCCGGTTAAAATCCATATCTCAGGGACTACTAGACTGAGATCGACCAAATTTAGAAAATAGTATTATCCTGACATCCCTATTTTTCAGTGCGAAAATGGGCGAAATCGCACTACAACCACGCCTACTTCCCATATAACACCATTTTTAATTCCATCTGATTCTTTCACTTTCCAGTATGCAAATCAATCCCAACGTATCGGGATAAAACTCTGCACGAATATTGCTTTTGAGGTGTGCGACCTTATTACCTAAAATAGCCTAAATCGGACTATGGTAAAACTATTTTGATATGATCATACGTTGAATATATGGACCTCAGTTCCTACAGCAAACATTTAATTGAAAATATCGGTAATTCTGTGAGATATGTTATAGAAATTCGAAGATAATCCTTTTCTGATAATAACTTGCCTGCATGTTAAAAATGGGTTGTATCGGGTCCATAATTCCTTTGGTTGGCTTTATATCGCATATATTGGCAAACAAGTAGGATACATTGGCAAAATATGCTATAGTTTAATGCCGAAAATACATGTATGTGTAATTAGAATTTTCACAATTACTACCATATACTACATACATATATTGATTTTCGTTGTTCTAACAAAGCTTAAAAGAAACTTGATCCATTTAATTTCATTAAAATATCACCAAAACGGTTTAAGGTCAGGTGGAAATTTGGAAATTACTACATAGGGTATATTTGGGGCAGAGAAAAATGTGGGCATTTTGCGTTAACCTTTGACATGGCTCAGGTATACTCGAGTACCAATATAAAAATATGTATAACTCACACAGACCATTCATATTCCGTATGTGGTTTATTAGGATAAAGAAAATCATTAAAGGTAGTATAAAATAATTTTACATATTTTCGGTATTAAACTACAGTAACGGGTTATCCAAGTATAGGTATTTTTTCAGTAGCCTTTTTTTGACAGATCACGCGTGAGTCGTGTCGAGCTGTCATGTTATTTTTGTTCAGTATTGTTTGGCATTACATTATGAAAAGACTTATGCTTGAACAACGTTTAGTTTTACGTTTTCAACTTTATTACGAAATTTCACGTTCTCTAAAGAATGTATTTCGTGCGCCTCGCTCAACTTACGGTCAACATAATCGGCCTAATGAGCGTACTATTTGCAACACACAACAAACATACATTCCAAGAAGATCCGACGTTTTCGAGCCAAATTTTGTGCAGCAATGAGGCCCATTTCTGGCTAAATGGGTATATAAACAAGCAAAATTGCCGCATTTGGGACAAGGAGCAACCTGAAGAGATTCAAGAATTGCCATTTCATCCAGAAAAAACAACGATTTGGCGTGGACAATGGCGATCGTTATCGCGCCATGATAACTGACTATTTGATGTCTGAAATTTAAGCTAGTGATTTCGGCGACATTTGGTTTCAACAAGACGGCGCCACTTCTCACCACCACCAAGATCGTGTAATATCATATCGTAAGACTTTGTAAGACAATTATATCTGCCACGAATTGGTCCCTTCGGACAGGAAGCCTGTCCATAAGGTGAATTGAAATATTTAATTTACAAACAAGTTTGTACAGCTTTCTGAAAATGTTCGTGACTCAGAAGGGCCAGTGAAGAAGGGCCCTTATGCCGAATAGCAGCTGGAAATTTTCTGAACGCTTTTTTGAAAAACTGAATTTCTGTCGCGGTGTTATCTTATCCGTAGAATCGTTAGCAACACTCGTATGAAATATCAATGAAAAATCGGGACCGTAAAAAAATTACAGTCCTTGCTACTAAATCCTGTAGTTTGCTAGTAAATAAATAATGTAGGAAAATGTGAAAAGGCAATCAATACAAAATCGCGCGATTTTACCGACCGCAATTTTTCCAATTCCGCGGAAATTGTCGTCTACTCCTACCTGATTTTTGATAACTAAATGAAAGAGTGGATGAAATTTACAGTAAAGAAGAAATTGAATTCAAAAAAAGCACCTTCTAAGTCATACTTGACACCGTTATCTGTGGAATTAATGCAAGATTTGCCGCAGTGAATGACATAAACGAATTTTCTCATCTGTGGCAGTTTCATGATATGAAAGAAGATAAACTCAACGTAGCTGCAAAAAAATTTTTGCAAAAAACTATTCCTTGATGTATTTGATAAGTTGTACACCTTTACGATGCAATTTTTGAAACCTATCTTACTCCATATAACGTATTGAATGTCATCAATGCTCGAAAATTAGGAAGACTCTTCCATCATCGCTTTGCAAAACGTTTGCCCTTTACCCGTTTTTGTTTCAAGTTGTGACCGTTCGTTTAGTCGGAAGATAGTTAATAAAATTTATAAAGCACTAAAAACTTTCCTATAGGTAGGGGCTCCCATCTTTTGACTCCTGGGCCCAGATTTTTTCTCGGCGGCCCTGTACATACCTTAGATATTTTGGTCGCATGCAAATATTTTCTGTAATATTCTATGCAATCAAATATTGCGGAGGACCTTGTTACTATAAATGGAGAAAGTCGACATTCAAATGAATATGTTAGACAATCAAGAACAATTATTAAAAAAACGTAAATCGCTAAACGGTATAAAGAAGGATCATAAAAATGAAACTGAAAAATAAATAAATTCTAATGTAAAATATTCCAATACTTTTATTTTCAATTTATATTAGAGGCCTGCCTTGTTACCAACTCTATCTATAAGACTAGAAGCAAATAGTATTTTCGATCCAGTTCAAGCGCTACTAGACTCTGGGGCACAACCAAACTTTATTGCTGCCAGTCTCGTTGAGAAATATCAGTTTCCGATTTTACTACCATTGTGCAAGAAATACAAGGTATAGAAGGAAAAAATTTGGAGTTAGTCGACGTGCAGTCCTGAAGATATGACCGTGGTTACAATCAAATGGATTCATTGAAGAAAATTTTTGGGTTCGACCAAAAAATAATAATTGGCAGCCAATGTTACCGAATACTGATTATGCGTTGAAACCAACCTCAGTCAAATTTGCTTTACCACTTGCTGATTCACAATATTGGAAACCGGGTATAGTGCAAGTGGTGCTCAATGTAAAGACTTTTGCAAATATTTTGATCGCGGTGTATTCTTATTCTTAGTGGTGAAGAGAATCGGAGCAAGTGCGATTAGGCCAGTTAGTTAAATGTAAGAACTTTGTCCTAATGGTGATAATTTCGTGCGTTCTGTGACAATTCGTATTGCGACAAATATTTTGCACAGACCAGTGTAAAAGATCTGTATTCTGCCCATTTGAAAACGGGTTTTCGGTGGGACTGTTACGAATCGGTGCGATAGGGCATTATCGTAATGACAGTGTTCGAAGCATAAGCGTTATAAAAAAAGAGAATGTAAGTTAGTCTAAATTTGAAAGAATACACAACAATAGCATATTGATCGGTATTTTCTGTTAAAAGTCAGCTATTAGCACTGTAATCCACAGCTTCGATATGAGGGACCCGATTTTAACAAATTTTACGTTATTTGTGCAAGGTTTTATTACGATATATTTATTGGTGTTTCATTTGTATACTGGAAAGTGAAAGAGTCAGATAGAATTTATAGTTGTGTTAGTTAGTTATTGATTTATCGCACTTTTAGTAGTTTTTAACAAAACTGTTATGTGGGGAGTTGGCAGACTTATCATCCGGTTTCACCTATTGCGCACTGTCGTAAGAGATGTTTAAAATATTTGTTCTGTACAAATATGGTAATATTGCTTAAATAGTTATATATATAGGTTTTCGATTATTGGAGTTTTGTGGGCGTGACAGTCGTCCGATTGCGCACAGCTACATTGCCGATTCCTATGGTGCCAAGGAACATGTGTACCGAGTTTTGTCAAGATATCTTAATTTTTACTCAAGTTACAGCTTGCACGGACGGGCGGACAGACAGACACCCGTCTCGTCATCCTGATCATTTATATACATATAGAATATAACCCTAACCAACAACCGTTAGGTGAACAAAACTATTATACTCTGTAGCACGATGTTGCGAAATAATAGTGACTGTCTGTACGTTCGAATGTCTGCGCA